TATATACCAGAAAAATAAATTGTTAAGTTAACATTCTAGTCAAATAATTTGATATGTTATGTTGTTAACTGCTTGATAAGAACATATCCTTCAAGTGTTATGTTATTTCCGAATTTAAAGTTGATATATTAATTATACAACGCATGTTGCATAACATACATATGCTTATATTCCCTGAATTAAAAATTGATTATAAAAAACTAATGGTGGGAACAAATAGTCTCTCGTGTTTTTTTAAAAAAAAAATTATTTGGAGGACCTTTCCTATTGAGAGGGGTGATAACATACTAAACTCACAAACACTACACGAATACTAGAACTCAAAACCAGAACCTTCTGGGGGGAAGCATTTGCTCCAAAACACTACACTAGTGGGTCTTTTACAATAGTCTGTCGTTTTTTAAATATTGATATAAGGATAAGACAAATCAATATATGTTCTGAAGACTGAGGCTGCAACCAATTTGTATTCTAACTTTAATAATTATTCAACTTACGACTCATCACTAAGACCACTTTCAAAATATTACACACTAGAATTAACTTATCTCTCCAAGTAATTCACCACTCCTAATTTATTTAAATTTGTGCATATCATCTCTATTGGCGTGAGTTAAGTAACTTGCACACCAAGATTCCTATATTAACTCCCATATTGATTGTAATTGATTTCCCTTCTATCTATGATTACCTATTGTAAATAGAATTAGGAGTTATAGCGTTACTTGGGCTACAAGGGGATCAAGACCTGATCACACAAAAAATTTCCACAATTATTCTCCCATATTTAACATGGTATTAGAGTACCGATCTTGGGATTGTTACTAAACCCTAGCTGCCGCCACGGGGATCAAGACCCGATCACCCCCGTGGAGGCATCATGACCAACTCCTCTACCACATTCCACCCAATTTTAAAAGAATTGGTTTCATGAATGACCTAGTTAATGAATTAGTCTCAGACCCAGATCTTAGAAGAATGGACCTCAAGAATGATCCAGTTGCTGAATCAAATCCAAACTCAGACTCAGACTCATATTCATACCCAGATTCAGACCGAGACTATAACTTATGAATCTTCCGTTGCACAAATTACGACTTCCCGACCAAAGACCCAGACATAGGGAGCAGGTTGCACACATTAAGGTAATCCAAAACACACTCATGAAACTTGTTTCAAATTGAATAGCTATCCAGAATGGTGGGATGACCTTAAAGCCCGAAAACGACATGAAGCTACAAGTAGTGATTCTAGTTATGCATTCCATACTTTGGGTAAAAGTGATTCCATGGCTAGATAATTGATTGAGGCGCAACTGACCATATGATGTTTGATTCGAATAATCTTCTGACTACCACCCAACCCAGACGAACTAGTATTGCTCACACCAATGAAGTTACTGTTCTTGTGATAAGAGCTAGCATTGTTGCTCTTTCACTCTCTCTCTCTCATTTTCTAATACTTTACTTGCTCCGTCTCTATAAAATAAGTTGATGTCAGTTGGTCAGGTTACTGAACAATTGAATTCTTGTGCACTAATCTACCCAAGTTTTTGTTTTCTTCAAGATATTCTTACCAAGGAGATTATTGGTCGTTGTACCAAGAGGGGACTTTATTATGTGGATGAGTTTAGTAATGCAGAGCTAACAATGTGAAGCATCCATCTGATGGTAACTGAAGGCAAATATAGATGTGGCATCGTTGTTTAGGACATCTATATTTTAGTTATATGAAGCATCTGTTACCAGATTTATTCTCAATTTTTAAGGACTCGGACTTCAAATGTGACACGTGCATTTTGGCAAAGAGTCACAGTGTGCCCTATCCTTTGAGTTCGAGTAATTGTAATGCTCTGTTACTTTAAATCATTTTGATGTCTGGGACCCTCACTTATAACTGATTCTTCTGGCATTCGATGGTTTTTGACATTTGTGGATGACTGTACCCGCATAACTTGGCTTAATTTGATAAAATATATGTATAAGAACAATGTGTTTAGCATTTTTCAGTATTCCATATGATGATTCAGACTCAGTTCTCTACAAGACTACAAATTATCTGCCTTAACAATGGTGGGTTATATGTGAACCATGACTTTCAAATCTATTTTCAAACCTAAGGCATTCTTCATGAAACGACTTGTCCTTAGATAAGTCAATAGTGTAGCTGAACGCAAGAACATACATATTCTGGAGACAACACTAGCACTTCTTATTGGAGCTCACATGCCCAAGAGCCATTGGGATGATATAGTTATCATTGTCGTATACAATTATCGCTGCCGTATATTTGAAGTGTGTAAAAGAAGGCGTTGAGAATCGCTATGGGGGAGTAGCTTGCTAGATTTCGGTTGTGAAAGGCTTGGAGTTTGCTTGGTCTACCTCCCTGCGTAGAGTATCTTCAAATTTTCCACCAATATATCTTTAAGTCTCGAAGCCGGTTATTCACAAGTTTCTTATATCTTTAAGTCTCGAAGCCAGTTATTCACAAGTTTCTTGACGTCTTTTGTGTGCATGACCTGCTGGTCACACCTGTGATCTTCTTGATTTGTGCGGCGTTGATTGACCTC